AAAGGTTTGGAAATACTTGTCTGTTTTTAGAGGAAACTCACCTAGCAGAATTTCTGAGCACACTGTGATGGATTATTGTAATTATTGGGAATGATAATATTTTAATTCAACTTTCTTCCCACCTGTCGGTTGTAATCAAGGCTGCCCAGTATTCTGAAACAGTCTCATTTTGCTAGGTGGCTAGTCTTGTGCAGCCTCTAGAATGCTTAGAATATTAATGTGTGGAGAGGAGACTGAATGCTCTCTATAGTTCCATTATGGCAAAGTGTCTTGTTTTAATCAAAACATATGCAAAACCTAACCAAAATAATTTATAATAAATTAATTCCAGTGAGTACTTAAGAGAAAGAAACCATTTTGGGGGACGTTGTATCAGAATATAGAATTTGGCATTTCTCTTCTTCATAACTGACAATGTATATTAATTTCTGTAGAATTTAATTTCTTTCTTGGGTGCCTCATTCTGAAGTGCTTTGAATTTATATGAACAAAGACAATCTGACATTTATGTGAGGATCAGTCTAGTTTATAGTAGGCTGCCAGAGTAGGAAATTTTTTATCAAGATAATATATGTTGAAAGACATGTTTATTTGATTTAATATTTATGATGTTGGTCTTTATCATTTTTTATATTTCCTCCTTGTATTGCTTATTTTAATCCTATTTCCTCTAAATTCTTATATATCTCCTATATTTTTTCCCTAGAGTTTTTGCTTGTTTGCATTTTTTTTTGTCATGTAGCTTTTACTCCAGTGGCTTTGGATGGGCTTCAGGGATTTCTTTAACCACCTGAAATCATAGTAATAATTTTCTCATGAATTCATTTGTCTAGGGAGAACTACTCCTCAAAATGCTTCTTAACTAAATAAATCTAGTTCTTGACGTTCATTTCATTCAGTGATTATCTACCTTTGTATAGGATAGGACTGCTTGACCTTGAGTGCCCCTATTGTTCTTTGCCAATTCTGAATCACTGAAACAACCACCAGGTGAAAAATTTCTGCCACACATAGGCTCAACTTTTGCAACGTATCTGTTGGTGCTGGGTGAATAAAGCCTTAGCAAGTACCAGCAGGCTTCCCTGATTGCTCAGATGGTAAAGCATTTGCCTGCAAGGCAGGAGACTCGGGTTCAATCCCTGGGTCAGGATGAACCCTCTGGAGAAGGGAATGGCTGCCCACTCCAATATTCTCGCCTGTAGAATCCCATGGATAAAGGAGCCTGGCATACCACAGTCCATGGGGTCACAAATAGTCGGATACAACTGAGTGACTAACACACACAGATAAAGCTTTCCTGCACTTTGGGAAGGTCCTGGGTATTGTCAAGTGTTGTGAATTTGCACCACCCTTCTTAGCTTCAGCTTTATCTCTAGAGGGCAGAAGTAGTAGAAGTAGTGGTCAGTTCAGGTGGTTCCTGGGTACCAGTTGTCTCCCTTTCTGAAAATGGAAGTATTTCTTTGCATCCACCAGAATCTTCAGTAATCTCTATTATTAATCCAATACAAAAGATGAAAAGATGCCTCTTCATTCTGAGAGATGATTAACAGCACTGTGGGCCTGAGGTCCAACATTGTTGTATTCATAACTTTAGGATGTATAGCTAATTGTTCACATTTTGAAAATCAGATAAATATTTATATTTATAAACATTAAGACTATTCCTTTTGCAGTGTGCTTGAATATCTGTAAATCAGAAGCAATTGAAAAGTTGAAATTCAGATTTCCTTTCACTTGCCTGCCAAGTGGCCTCAATCAGAAGTAATTTTCTCCATGAAGGCACAGAGAACTCAGTCATAAGCCTTTTATAAGTAGATATTATTATTTGTGTCAAATTACATGTGGTGATTTTTCTGAAGTGGACTTCTGTGCCCACTAATCCACACACAGGAGGTTCCTTCATTCCCCCGTTCATTGGTGCTATTAATTGTGCTTCTGCTTCAAGTGTCTCTTACCCTCTTAAAATGTTAGTTTATAGCCACCGATTATCTGTAAGGTTTGCTATATAGACAGTAGGGTGAGATCTAATCTTAAACCATAAATACTATGCATTTTAAGAGAAACCTTTTTGCCAGAGCCTGATTTGATAGCATAGCTAAAGAAATGGTTAGTAATTTCACATTTTAAAGTACAATAAATTATATCAATCTGACACGTGCTTTGGGCAAAATACACATTGGTTACTAAATCACCTTTTTTTTAACCTGTTATAAATATTGACAGTGAGATCTCATGTATTTTGAGCAATGAACTCAGAAATTTTTTTTTACCTTTCATTTGGATTTTGTAATTTGTTTTTGACAATAAGTGCTTCTTTTCAGTTACATGCTTTGAATTGCAAATAGGTAGCCAACATAAAATAAAACAGCCCCTGGAATATAGAACACTATACTGTCAGCTAAGATCTTACCATAATCTTTGATAAATAAAAGTTATATATGATGTAGAAGCCTTTTTGACATATGTGTATATATATGAATGGCTTGGTTAGATGCTTATTGAGCCTATATCAATGTTTTGTGGGTTTCTTTCAAAACTTCACATGAGATTTTTCCATCTAGTTTTTAATAAAGTGACTAAATTTTAATTTAATGTATACTATTGGAGCCAAATTGTTAAGTCCTGTATGATTTTAAATTGTTCAAGTACATATTATCTTCAATAAAGACTCTTTTACAAATGTTAGAAAGTTTGCTCACATTTTATTTTTAAAACACAAAGTATTTTACTATTAATTTTATTCTAGTAATATGCATGCACTTTCTTTATAATATATAGGCTTTTGTAATTGAAGAGCAAATATAAGTAAAAAAGACAGTCAGTAAAATTTATATGAATTATTTAAAATATTTATTTTACAATTAGAGTTTTATTTTTTGTTAACCAAACCCAAGAGTATGTATTCCAAAAGAAGTCTATATTGTCTTGTCTGTTACATGATATAAACTGATATTAAGACAGTTTCCTTTATAGAATTACTTGGTAAGGATATAGATTATGCAAATAATTAAATATTCATAATCAATTATTTTATTTTTGGTAATGTCTATAAAAAAGGCTTTCCTGGTTATTTTTGCTGGGAGGGTTAAACTTTTGGTTGATTTTTGGTAATCTGAGAAGAGCAGTGAGAGGCTTCTCAATTTTAAGACTAGATCTTTAAGCATCTAAAAATAGTTATGTTAGTAGACATGAGCAATTTCTGAAGGATTCTGTGTTTTCGAGTAACCTGTTTTATAGTTTTACTTATGAAAGAATGCATTTATAACTGCAAAAGAATGGTTTGCATATAGTGTGGTATAAAAGGTATTTTGAAATAAAATAGAGTTTTCATGTCAACTTTTTCACATATTAACTTGTAGCCTTATTCTGGTTAACTAACCTGACCTTTACTTTCCAGATTTACCCAAAGAAAAGAATAATAATTCCCATACCTACATCACTGGGTTATTTTAAAGATCACATAAGAAAGTACTTTGAAAGTCCTATATGAGATACAAAAATGAGAGTTTAGGTGTCTTATTTTGACCAAACTTGTTACTAAAACTAGGTATCTTGAAAAAATAAAAACATGGAAAATATTCTGTTTTATTCCTTGTTATACTTGCAGTTAATAATTAAAATTATTCAAATAACTGTTTTAGTGATTGTAATATTTTACCTTATTACTATTTTATATATTCCCTGCATGTCTTAGTACTTGACATAATTGTTAAAAGGTGAAAGATTATATATTACTTGAAATAATGAATAAGAGATAAAAACTAATATGAGATCCATGGCTTTTGAATGCAACTGAGCACACATGGATTTTTTTAACTCTCCACCTAGAATTAAAAAAGAAAAAGCACATTACCAGAGTGTTTGGAATTAGTGCATCCTTTCTTCCGTAACATTTGTTATTTTGGAGAAAAGAAGAAAAAATAAATTTTAAAAAGGACAAAGAAACTGTCATAAATTTTTTTGACTTGAGTGTGCCTTAAATTTAAATCCACATTTCTAAGAAGTAAGAGAAAGAGACTGCCTAAGCCTTTTAAGTATTTAGCCTGTCTGATGAGACTGCTGACATGAGTGACAATTAGTACAAATTACCATAATTGTGTTCCTTGGATGAAATGCCACAGTGCTTCTTTAGGAGCAAATGCAGGCTTCCACTTAGTGAAATGAGTCGGATACTTTGGTTCTGGGCAGTCAGAAATTCACAATCAGCCATGTGGTATTTCCATGTCATCCACTTCAGATCCATCTCAACAACTACAGCCCACCCTTTCCTTTCAATAAAATAGGCCCATTAATGTAATGCACCTGACTCTCATTCACTCTAAGGAAGTTGTATTTTTATTACAGAAAAAGTATCACATAAATACAAATTACATTTTTTTCATTAGAAAACTACTTTTCATTTCAGAAAAAATTCAATTAATTATGAATAGGGTTATGCTTTCATCAGGGAGAGAAATATGTAATTTTTTCTTCAAGCTTCAAACACATATAATGAAATCTTTTCTTAGAATCCACTCTTAAGATGGATTTTTAAAAGTATAGACTTTATTAAAATCTCAGTTCAATTAAAATGCATTCAATTACTTTAAATCTTTATTAAAATCTTAGGTAAAATTGTACAACAGTGTAAAAGAGACTTGTACTCTTTACCAGGCAGTTAATTCTAACAAATGAACATAAAGTGCACAGTTTTGCTCTTCAGGAGAGAATAAAAGAATAAGCTTTGGGCTTCAAGTTGGGGGTGGGGAAGGATGGGAGATGGAGTTTGCTTTCTATTTAGTAATTTCAGGAACAGGTTTCTTTCCACTTGTTACATTGCTCTATATTACTTGTTGATGCGGATGTGGCATTATCTTGTCTGGGTACCGTTGTTAATACTTGTCCTTTCATTGAATACCTTATCGTCCCTCATCACCTTAAACAAAAAGACCCTATTTAAGGATTTTATTTCACTCTCTTCTTGGGATGTTTTTGGTACAGTGTCCCTCTTCTTTTTCAAGGGCCGCTAGAAGATGCCATTGAAGAGGAAGAAGAAGAATGTCCATCAGAGGAAACAGACGTTATCTCAAAGGGTGACTTTCCACTGGAGGAAAGCTTCTCCACAGAATTTGGGCCTGAAAATCTGAGTTGTGAAGAGGTGGAATACTTTTGCAACAAAGGTAATCATTAATGGCTAGATGTGATATGTGAGTCCATTTACTCAGATGATTTTGTGTAGTTGAAAAATGCACTGATATACTGGAGGAAGAGTGTTCATGGTGCTAATATTTAATTCAACAGTCTGAAAATGTGTACAGGATTTTTAAAATGCAATATTATTTTGAAAGATAAAAGAAATTTTATAACTCATAAGTCATATTGTATATTTAAACACATAGTTTCATATTGATTGGCCAGTTGACTGAATATTTTCATGTTGCTTAGACAGTTGACTATAACATATTTACTGTTCATCATTTATCCCTCCAACAAATATTACTTAATGTCAGTTGTTTACAAGGCACTGAATTCACCATTGAGGGTGAGCAGGGAATGGGCCAGAGGCCCTATACAAGGTTTGAGCTCACTCCTTTTGAACACTGAATGCCTTGTGTTTGACATTGACTTTCAACATTGAGAATGGTGCTTTTTTTAGATACTGACAAATAAGAAAATACACACTCTTTCTCTCTTCTAGATATTTGTATGATACACTAACATTATAACAGAGGAAGAAGCTCTGTTATATTTATATTTATATTAATTTTATATTATATTATGTTATATTTATATTATATGTTATATTTATATTATTATAACCTCTGTTATAAATAGGCTGAACCTCAGCCTATTTCCAACCTATCTTGACTTGGAGCCAAGTGGTCCTGCCAGTAATTATGTTCTCATCAGTCATGTATACTCATTATTTAAGCTGCTTTTCCAAAACTGATTTTAAGGGTTCTTATGATTCTTTTTAATTTTTTGATTGATTTTGCAAGTGAGATGGGTCTTCTGTTATCTCCTGCACCAATGTATAATTTCACAAGTGTTCAGATTACTTCTTTGGTTTTAGAATAGCTACTTTATTGAGTTTACCATGGTTGTTTCCCATAGGGCATGACTGAGAGTGTGTGTCTATCTCTGTATATCTGTGTTTCTGTAAACAACATTTTTTTGTTTTAGGCAGATAGAGAAACTATGGGACATGAGTTTTTACATGTTTGTGTGAATTTGATGATCAGAATTGATAGTGTGAAATCAAGAATGCTGATATATCATCCCCCCAAACTGCTAATATACATGTCTCAGCAGCCAACTATATATATTTGATACATTTTATTAAAACCTCAGTATAACTTTCTCTTGATTCTGGCATGTTAGAAATAAAAGAAGTGAGCCATTCCCATCCCTGTGGTCCATAGAGCTCAATACCCTAAAATTGTCCACAGTTTAAGGAGTGACACCACCAGCACTTGATTTCATTGAAGTTCAGAAAACCTCTTTGACCATTAACTCCTGGAGACCTCAAGATGACTTGGTAACCTGTTCCTTGGCCCCCACATCAGAGACTTTTGGTTGAAAACAAGAATGGTAGGGACATAATAGACCTTCTTTTTTAGTATTCACTTAGATTTCAGGCTAAATTAATATTTTCCCTATTAGAACCATTTCTTGATGCTGCATAACCACAGCAATACATAGTAGAGCTAGATGGAGAGGAAGAGTTTTTAAATATGTTTTAAGGCATCCCATTGTCCATCTTTATCAGGAAATATACTCTTGAGCACTGTAGAGTACCTGCCTTATGTTGCGGGACCGCAATAAAGGAAGGAACCAATAGCTATTAAGTATCATGTATTCTTCTTACTCTTGTCCTTAAAAGACTTAGTGTATGGACTCAAGAATTTTTGTCAATTTATTAATCCAGGGAGAGCAGTGATAATAATTATTAGATGTTATTTACATTTGGTAATGATCATTGGTGATGGCCTGTGTTTAATGAAAGAATATATTGAGTTGGCAAAAGAAGTTTGTTCAGGTTTTCCTGTAAGATGTTACAGAAAACCCGAATGAACTTCTTTGGTCAACCTAATAGAACTCCAAGTTTTAAGTTAGTAGTTTCTTGGAAAAAAATGGACTTACAGAGAAAGTGAAGTTGCTCAGTCGTGTCCGACTCTTGCAAACCCATGGACTGTAGCCTACCAGGCTCCTCTGTCCATGGGATTTTCCAGGCAAGAATACTGGAGTGGGTTGCCATTTCCTTCTCCACCGGATCTTCCTGACCCAGGGGTTGAACCTGGGTCTCCTGCTTTGCAGGCAGATGCTTTATTGTCTGAGTCACAAGGGAAGTCCTAAATGGACTTACAGCAGATGCTTATTATAGGATTACATAATTATAGCCTCAGAATAATAACTTCCATCTATACTAAACAGAGTCTTAACTCAATGAAAAATAATGACAGGCCTGAGGGACTAAAAAAAAAAAAGGAAACAAAACTGAATTACAATTCTTAAGAACATTGTTTAATAGACATTATTAATTGTTTGATAAATAATTGGAAAGTTGAAAAATATATCAAAGTAACATTTAATATATAATGTAGGTAACATGGAGCTTCCCAGGTGGTGCTAGTGGTAAAGAACCTGCCTACAGTGCAGAAGACAAGAGATATGCAGGTTTGATCCCTGGGTTGCTGAAGATTCCCTAAAGGAGGGCATGTCAACCCACTCCAGTCTTCTTGCCTAGAGAATCCCCATGGACAGAGGAGCCTGGTGGGCTACAGTCCAAAGGGTCACAAAGAGTTGGACATGATTGAAATGACTTAGCACATACATGCACACATAGGTAATATATTAAAAATATATAATTAATATATACTATACAAATAATTCTCTGTTTAATTTGAAGCTAGATAATAATGCTAGGTGGGGATAATAATTCGAATTTTGACATAATTTTTTTTAAGATAAATATTACTTTACCATTTCAAACCACTGTCGCTTTATTTAATAGGAAAAGAATTTCATTATTTTACTCTCCTAAGTTGTGAGACCAGGGAATTCCTACTGAAGTAGTCAGAACTGGTGTGAAAGAGAGACAGCTCTTTGATATGAATTGCATCCCCTTGAGGTCATACAGGGATTCCATTCATTTTTCATTTAAGTTGATTAACTGTAATAGGAAGAGAAAATTTTCTCTCTGGAAAATTAGAATCTAATCTTTCTGCAGAAATTTACATATTAGTCTCAGTGACACATAATTATGTTTTCTTGCCTGTTGCAGGGAAGAAGATAGATTAAGTTTAAAAGAGTATATGTATTTAAATGGTTAATGATGCCAGTGTCATGACTGAAGAAGCATGTGATAATTGTTATTCTGATGAAAACTATTTTTAAGTTGGGATCATTGATGAAACATACTTTTGCATATATTCTATATGATTTGTGACAACTTAAGCACTGTTAATATGTGTAAGAAAATGAATTGGATTATTTTGAAAGTTTCTTTGTCTAAAATTAGTCAAAATCACAATCTGGTAGTTGCTTTACTGGGTTCCAGAGATAACATTTTTGAACATCAATTTTTTTTTCTTATCAAATAGGATAGGAATTTAAAAACTAAGATCACAAAAGCATGGCTGGAGTATCTTGTTTTCCAAACAAAGTATTTTGACACATTGTCAGAGAAGAGTATTGAGATATTCATATAGTTACAATATATCTTCATTTATATTTTAGCAACTGTGTTTTGTATGAAAGCAATCTATTGTAACTTTTCTTTTTTAGAAAAGAAGAAAAATTTCGACTTTCTGGAGGCATAGCTTATCATGGGTAAAAGTTGCTGCTTCCTTTTGAAATTGAACCTCTATATTATGCAGGATGTTTTCAGTGTTTAGAATAGTTATTTACTTATTATTGTGGCATTTTCCTCTGTTCCACATGGATATTATCTATTCTCTTGTTGTCAAAGGGAAGACTTTTTTTTTACAAGTCTCAAAGTGTCTATTAATGTTAGTAAAGTTCCTAGTTATAAAATGTGATTAAATGTGATCCAAATCACTCTTACAATGTAGTATTCCGCAGAAGTGTAAAACAAGGTGGTCAGACTTTTGTCATCTTTAAATGTGTTGAATTTTTAATCATATGAATCTAAAGCCTAAATATTCACAATTAAAATGGAAAAGATCACTTTAATAAAACCTTGTTATAGTCATAGGGGGCCTAACATTTCAATCTGACAATTCTATTGATTCCTTTTTCACTTTTTACTTTGGGTTAGTTGCATATTTCATGTTTTTGTTTTTCATCTTTGAAATGAATCAAATGAACTATGTTTATAAAAAGATGCTATTTCAAAGTTGCTTTGATCCTTTTAGATTTTAAGAAATTTAGCAAAGTGTAAAGCACTGCTTCCAATGTGCATCATCCTCTTTGGTGCAGTGAGTTTAGATCGTCTGGCATCTTGCCTTACCGTATCTCAGAGAGGAAGGAAACAAGCAAGAATTATTTCCTTGAATTTACAGATGACGAAGACATCAGGCTGGGTCCATAAGTGCTGCACATTTCCTGTGGCACTGAAGTATTTGCTTCAGTGCCTTTTTTTCTGCCTTTGTTCTGGCTTAGAATAAACATGGAAGAACATCAGTGTTGGTTCAGAGTTAAGCAAACTAGTATAAATTGAAATATAGGTGGTCTGGAAAGCAACCTGGGGAGCTTTTAGTTACATCACGGCTGGCAGGTGGGGACTCATATATATTAGCAATTCTTGGATCAACTGAGAGACAGTAAGTTTTATAGTGGAGGTAATATTAAAGCAGCTCTAAAACTGGCTTACTATTATTAATTATTTGGAAGATGGTTTCCTCACTGAAATATTCAAGTTTGTTAATGACTAAAGTAGATAAACCTGTCTTGGGATACATTCCAGGAGGATGTCACAGGGTAAGTGAACAGGCAGAAAATTGCCAGGCCAGTATCATTAGGCTGTTAGAAAATGATGCTGTCAACAAGCAATCAAGCAACCAACCACAAACCTCTGAAGAAACTATGTATTAGTGAACTTTGAATTATCAATAGTGATTTTCTGAAAAAGTTAACCAGGTTAACAAACTGGTCCCTGATGGCATCATCCCAGGACAAAGTCTGAAAGGGAAAATAATGTCATTAAAGTTGATTTTGA